GCCTCTTGCAATTTTCATAAATATAATACTAAATTTCTATAAATCATTTGTAATTACTCTTATGTTAAAAACAATTAATTATAGTTATGTTACAATTCCTTTTGTTCCAGTGGCGTTGTTATTCTATTCTTCTTTGGAATCGATAATGTCGCATTTGACACGACAGGTATCAAAGTATTCTTTCTTCAAGTACACTTGAAGATATATCTAACTATTTGCTTCAAAGCATGTTATATTAAAAAAAGTTATTGAAAAATATCCTTCTTTTTAACAAAGTTTAACTACATAAAATTTAAATTTACGTAATAATTAAAAAAATATTTTATTTTAATTATATTTTATTTTTAAAAATCTTACAGCAAAAATACAAAATGCAATGTGCTATGTTAAATTGGAATGGTGTACCTACTCAAGTGATTACAGAAGGTCGCTGGGTAGAAGAAGGTTTTTCAAATTATGGAAAAAGAGAAGTAGTGATTATTATTCCTGGTAATCCTGGTCTTGCAGAATTTTATAAAGGATTTATAAAAACTGTAAAGTCAAAACTTCCTACTGAAGTACCTGTATGGGTAATTTCACATGCAGGTCATGTACAACCACCAAGCAATTTAGCAATTACTATGCCAAGTAATTCAAATTGGACTGAATATTATAGTTTAACGACACAAGTGCAACACAAGGTTTTTTTTTTTATTTATTATATTTTATTTTATAAAAATTTTTAAAAATTATCATAAACTAATTATTAATTACAGATAGATTTCATAAAAAAATATGTACCAGAAGATGTGAAAATACATCTTATTGGACATTCAATAGGATGTTGGATTATTTTAAACATGTTAAAAGACGACTTCATTGCTAAAAAAGTTACAAAATGTTATTTATTATTTCCAACCATAGAAAATATGGATATAAGCGATAATGGATGGTGGTTTACTAAAGTAGTAAGTAGTTTTTTGGCGTCAAAATATTATTTTAAAAAATAGAATAGAATAAAAAATAATTATATTTATATTTTTTTCAGGTATCACGAATTGCATTTTTCTTACTTTTCTGTGCTTGGATTATTTCAAATCTTCCATATTGTTTACAAGTTTTTATTATTAGTATAGCTGGAATATTATATAGAATTCCATTCAAATATAATAATGTAATACTTAATATGTTAAATCCTTACTCTTTGGAAAGAATAATTAAAATGGCAAGAGAAGAAATGATAAAAGTAAAAGAAAGAGATGATGATATAATTTCAAAGTGTGCAAATAAATTATGGTTTTATTATGGCAATTGTGATGGTTGGGTACCAATTAAATATTATAAAAATTTGAAATCTAATCACCCTTATATTAATGCGGAACTCTGTAAGCATGGTTATCATCATAGTTTTGTTTTACAATATGATAAAGAAATTGGAAATATTGTTGGTAATTTAATTAGTGAAAATATATCATAATTTTAAAATGAGATATTTAATTAACTAATTAATAAAATTAATATTTAATAAATATGTAGAAAATACATAGAATAATAAATTTTAGTGTAGCTAATTTTTTTTTATTTTTATTTTTATATATTAAAATTATATATGAACATAAATTGATAAAATAAATAACATAAAAAAAATTAATAAAGATATAATAAAACCGGAAATACGTCATTATATATTAAATTACAAATATAAATTACAAATATAAATTTTCTTTATATATATAATATATAAATCAAATATAATTCAAACAATAAAATTAGAACATATTACAAGGATAAATTAAAATTAATCGCTAAATTGTGATTAAATATTCGGTACTTTTCGGCAATAATCGACTGACGCAAGCGATAGTGCTGACATCTTTTGAATCATATTAACGTTTAACATTATATTTAATAGTCCGCAAATTGCAGGTTGCAGTGTTCCATTTTATAGTGAGAAGTGTTTAGACACGTTAAGTAATTATAAATATAGTGCAATTTTTTTATATCTTATTACATTATATATTTATAATATTGTGATTTGAAATTCATATTAATTAAAATGTCGCGTATAACTATTTTATTATTGCTTACTTATTTCAACGCGAGATTATCTTATGGTGAGTACAAAAGATTTCAATGTAATAAATATAGTTATAATAATAAGATGATATTAATGAAAAATCCATTATGTTCTTGATAAGATATATGAAACAATAATTAATTCATTATTAATTATCAAAGATGAAATGTATTATAATTAAATTTATCGTAAATGAATATAAAATTTACATATAATGTTTAATTTAAATCTAAATATACAAATCTTTTGATTTTATATTATGTATATATATTATACAATAAATATAATTGATAAAATATTCTTTTTGATTCATTGTTTCAATTTATAGTTGATTCCTTCTCAGAAAAGAATCTATTATTAATTTCATAACATATCATTTACATTATTACATATTACATTACATGTATAAAATTACAATATTTTGTGGGTTAGATTTTTATTAATTTTTCAAATGATTATTTTTTTCTTGTATCTTCTGAAAAATATTGAAATTTTTTTTTTAAATCACAATATTACAATATTACAATACAATATTAAAAAAACAAAAAAGTGAAATTACAATTTATTATTCTTTCAAATAAAGTTTATATAATTTTATAAAGTAAAATAAAATAAAATTAATATATAATAAATATATTTTGCAGAAATCTTTGATTAAATATTAATTTTATTCGTTATATTTTTCTATTATTTAATAATAGTATGTATCAAAGATAAAAACAAAATATAAAACTATTTAAAATATTAAGAACATAAAAATTTACGAAATTTATTTGAATTAAGAATTAGAATGCTCATAAAAAAATGAGTAAGATTTTTATTTATTATAATTGTAAACATTTTTTTATTTTTATAATATAAAACTTGTTGAATTCATTACTTAAAGATATTTGTTAATAAATATGATAATATATTATATTATATAATTATAAATTAAAAATTTATTTTTTTAATTAGAACGTACATATATATATATATATATTTATATTTTATTTTCACATTATTTTCACAATATAAAATTTTTGATTGCATTAAAATCATTTGAAATTTTATTATTATTAAAATATGAACTCTTTGCAGTTAATAAATTAAATAGAATAATTAATAATAATTTATAATTGATATAATTGATAATTAATGAAATTATTATAATTGGTAATTATTTTTTAGTTAAAATATTTATTATCATAATTTTGAAAAAATGCATACTTGCTCTGTATTTCATTAGTTATTTTGTTAAAATGAAAGAATTAAAAAGTTTAAAAAAAAAATTAATTATATTTTTAGGAATGGAATGTTCATTTGGAAACAAGAATATTATATCGAAAGTGATCGATTCATGTCCAGGAATATTAGATTCGAACGATAAATCTTATTGTTGCTATGATTTTGAAAATAATGAAATGTATTGTTGTGATGCAGTGGAATTTGCATCGAAATCATCATGGTAAGAATATTAATATTATTTTTTCTTATACAATTTGTTTTTATTTTTATTTAATACTTCTATTTTTTATGTATGAAATAGCTTAAGTAATTAATGCTATTTTTAATTCAAAACAACTAATTTTCACTTTATATATATATATTAATCATTATATATACATATAGAAATATATTATATTTTTTTTATTTTTTATGCATAATATTATTAATTTTAGAACACACTTTATCGTAGCTATCGATCAATAATTCTAAATATTTTTAATATATTTTTGTTTACGAAATTTAAAATATAAGATCACATGTAATAATTATATTTGAATCGTAACATCTTTATTCATTTAAATTAAAAATATAAATTTGATAATAATACTTATTTAAATGTAAAATTTCTATTAAACTGTTTTTATTTGGTTTATATAATATTTTAATTAAAACAGAAGAGATTTATATTTTACTTTATTTATATTTATTAACTTTTTTAATGTTTTACATTAGTTAGTTTCTAATATTTATTAAAAAAGTATTTTATTTATTCTATAATTATAATATTACAAACAAACTAAAATTGATATCATAATCTTGAGAAATTAACAGATTTTTAAAATATGTATTTAGAAGATATTAAGATATTAAGAAATATTCTATTTATTATGTATATAAAAATTAGCAGATAATATTATTAAATTAACGAGGTATTTAGAAAGTATATTTGTACTTACGTGAAGAATAATATTTGATATTGTTTATGTTTGACAAGTATACTGAATTATAAAGGCATATTGAATTATAAAGTATTAATTCTTATTTTTATTTAAATATTTAAGGACAATAAAACCAGAAATCTTTATAGATTTTGCATAATTCTAAAATTCATAAAAATTATTTTATAACATATTTTATTTTTTTTTATTTATTTTTTTATCTGATTTTTTTCAACTGAAGATTATGATTTATTTTTCCAATTATTTTTTCTTTTATGAAATATTTAAAGCAATTTAATTAAAAATCATATTTCTTTTTAATTAATTATGATGTATAATATGATATTTTATTATAAATTATACTAAATTATATATACATAATTTTGAGATATATAATTTATAGATATATAATCTTGATGTATTATACACAATTAAATTGATGTATTCAATTTAGTTGTATCATATTATATTTGTTATCAAAATAAATTGATATAACATTTCAAATTATATTTGATTGAGATTGAAAGAAAATAATTCGAATATATTAATTTTTATCATTTTCATTAACTAGAAAGAATTTGATTAAATCATTAGAAATTTGACTAAAGTAATCCCACAAAACATATAATAATATAAAAGATACAATAATACTATTTTTTTATATATCATAGCTAACTGAAATATCGCATCAGTTAGGATGTTTGATGACTCATAGTTAACTGAAATATCACGTCAGTTAAAACGAATGTTTGTTCCGCAAAAACAGTTTCGAATGAGAATAATTCTTACTATAAATTTACTTCAATTTTCTTATTTATTTCTTTTCTTTTATCTATAAATAATATTTTACCTATATAGATATAAATTTATTTTTTCAAATTTTTTCTTATTTGTATATATCTATAATCTAAATAAATAATCTAAACAATTTAAATAATATTTTATCTATATAAATAAAATTAATAGATAAGATATTATCTATTATATATATATATATATATACATTCTATAAAATTCTTTTTTATTTTTATTATTGAACAATTTTAAAAAATTATTTTACATTCTAGTGTCTTTGCATAATAGTTTTTATAGGTGTTTAATTTTAAAAGATGGAAACTATAAAAACTAAATTAAATTTAAAATATTATTTTTTTTTGCAGGATTCTTCTCACAGTGATTTGTGCGGTTGGAGTCGTGTTTTCTGTGATAATATTTTGCATATCGTGTTTGTGCTGCAGTTGTTGTCCATGGTATCGAAGACGTCATCGAGGAACAGTCTACGGAAGTAAGAATCCTTTTTATATAATAACCATCATAAAATATTATTTCACATCATTGAAAAAAAATTTATTTAACATTCATTAATTTAATTTTGCTTTTCTTTCTTTCTTTCTTTTTTTTTTTTTTTTGTTGATTTAAAAATTAGTCTATGTGCTTTCAAATTGATATAATTAATTCATGAATATTATTAATATTACTGTAGACTATTTTTTATATCATTAACATTTAACTTTATTAAATAAATTTCACATTTCATAAAAATATTAATTTATTTCTGTTTTATTTTATTATTGTGCTTTTCTATCATTTATTATATATTACATAAATTTGTATTAAATATTTATTTGTAGAGGCAGTCAAAACGAATCATTTGAATTATTTTTAAGTATTTTAAATATGAGATGTCTTTAATATGAATTTATTATTATTATTATTATTAAATTATTAAATTATTATTATATCACAAGAAATTATTTTTATAAAAAAAATTAATTCAACATAAATTTAATTTATTATTTATGTAATAAGTTTGTGTGAATAGCTAATTTCGTCCTGTAATTATTTTTAGGACCACCTATAATATGAATCCATTTCATCACATCTTCCAATCTCCTGACACAACATATAATGTTTCCTATAATTATGTCAAAGTATATGTGTTTTTTTAAATATTTTTACTTCGCTTTCTATATATTCTAAACGCATGAAATTTTGTGCTTACGATTTGATTACGAATTTTATTAACGTATACAAACACAAAATATGAATGTAACTAAGAATTCAAAAATTATAATAGGATAAAATTTTTTAAAGAATTTTAGAAAATATTTTTTATATGATTTACATTTTAATGATAAATTAGTATTTTATTAAAAAAAATACTGTAGGGATAATTTTATTAAATTGATTAATTTTTAAGAATATAATATGCTTTTTATAATAAAACAAAATATAGTCGTTATACTTATGTTTTATAAATAACGATTATGTTTTTATGATTTTTACGTGTTTGCCTTGGACCCTTTGTATTTAAAAAAAAAATCTCCTAGAAAGGCA